GCATTTCTCTGGCTATTCACACCAGAGTCTATTTTATTTTGTGTTGGTTAATATATGTGCAGAAACGTAAACTCTTTTTTTAAAAGATATAATATAGAAAACACTATTCCACATAAAGATACTTACATTCCTTAATATTCCTTTAGTGGTGATTGACTTTTGCAAGAACAATTAAGTATAATAATAATAATAATAATAGTATTATAAAAATAGTGTTAATAATTATAATGCTATTATTATTATAATAAATTAATTATAATATTATATTAAGTGGAAACCTATTATTATTATAATGAAATAATTATAATGTTAATATAATATTATATTATGTGAAAATCTGCAAGAAAGAGAAACCATAAAACACTTTCTTGTGAATGCCTGGCTTTGGCATCTAAAAGAAATATATTTTTAGGAAGATACTTTTTTGACAGTTCATCAGAGTGTTTATCGGTAAAGACCAAAAACCTATTAAATTATCTAAATTCGGTGGGATGGATTTATGTCATACGCTTCTATATAAGGGATTCTTGCAAGGAATGTAGTATCAAAAGGGCAAAAAATGCTAATTGCAGTAGATGGAAGTCATCTATAACCTGCCACTGCAAGCAACCCTATATAATATTTTCTTATTACTATAATATAATTATAATAATAATAATATACTAATAATAATAGTATTAATCTTATACTTGCCCATGCTTTTTTTAAAACACATATTAGCTTTTTGCAACTATGGTATTAAAAACATGCATACAGCCCTGTAAACGCTTGATAGAAAATACAGCTATTGACTACTAGCCTCTGACCGTGTTAACTCAAGAATAATAAGGAAAATAATCAATGACGAAAAGCAGGAGTAATTTTATTAATTTTTGCATATATGTATATGATAAAAAATATATATATCTTAGGAAAAATGCAGTTAAAAAAGATCCTGCCAATTACTTTTTCAATATACAAAAGTATATTAAATACAAAATGATAGATAAATACTGAGTTAGAGAGTTCTCTCAATGACAGCTATTGCCGCAGTTGATCAGAGAAAGAGGAGAGAGATATAATTAATCAACTTTGTCACTAGCACGGTTGCCACTTTTGGTACTTTAGTACCAAAATTGGTACTTTTCTTTTATTTTTTTTTCGTTTGGTACTTATGTTCAAAAACTGGTACATTTTTGACGACCCAACTTTATTGTGGATATTTCCAATTAATTTTTTTTATAAATGCAACTTTGCTCTATTTTGTATTTTGTTCATTTATAACACTATGAAAAACACAGAACGAGAAAACAAAAAGGTCCAAAAAAATTTTGGACCTTTTTTTACAGAAATGGTACCTTTTTAAACCAATTTTGGTACAGAAAAAAATTTTCAAGTGGCAACCGTGGTCACTAGCCTACATTTTTTATATATTTAATCTAATGTATCTCTTCCTCAAATATCCATCCGATATTACTTGTATATATATTAAAATACGTATTAAAAGCTTTCGGGTCTAAAAAGAGGTATTCTTTCTTCTTTGTGAAATCAATACAGATTGCGTTCCGTGAAACTATAATATCACACCTTTCAGTACACTTGCATCGCGTATTTCTAAAGACAACCTATCACTAGTATATATAATACTTTCACATATAGCGTGAGGCACTTGAATTTTAACATTTGAAAATGTTTTTATTTTTGTATTAATTTTATTGTGCCACAATAAAAAATGTGTGGAAATATTTTAAATTTAAAAAAATAATTGTAGTTTTTGTTATGTCCACATTGAATGACATTGAGATGATTCGAAAGCACCGTACACTACCCGAAAATGGCTCTATAGTATTTGAGATCATTCCAGTACTTTTATTCAGTATCTTTTAAATAAACTAAGGTTTTTTAAAACTTTGTTTCAAAATAAAATAATTCCTTTCTGTTTTCAAAAAGGCTTCTGCGACAGTAATAATATAAACAATGAACTCGTAATTATTTTAAAATAATTTATTTCTATTTTTAAAAATGACTTTAAAGGACCTTTTGTCACAGAAATTGATAGATGTAAGGAAAACAATAAATTTGTAACTATTCTAAAATAATTTATTTATATTTTTAGAAATCTTAGTCTTCTATGAAAGAAACTCGTGACTTTTCTAAAATAATTTATTTATATTTTTAAAAAGGACCTCATGGGACAGAAATAATAAAAATATTAACTAATTTGTTTTCTACTTATTTTACGTATATTTCTCACACTCCTGAATTCGGTAATGGCATTTCGAGCTGGAACTAACTTAAGTCAACTAATCTGCACTCATTCGAAATGTTGAACCTACCTATTCTACAAATCCATCTGTAAATGTCTATATAATAATATTTTTCCAATAAATTTTAAAAATTTTAAATTCTTACACAAATTCTCCTACTTTCTTTCTATTTAAATCGATTTGAAAATTTTTATGAAGACACATGAGAGAAGCAATTAAAATAAATATATTTTCCATTTACTATAAAATGAAAATACACTTGAAAAAATTTTTGAAAGAAATTCAATTAAAAATTTATTAACTAAAATTGAGCAATTTAATTCGAAATACTTTTGTTGAAGTGCTAATTTGAATGTTTAGACTGAAATTGCATTGAATTGTTGCAATAACAGAAAATAGTTGCATCTCTCAGTGTAATGAAAAATGCATTAATAGTTCAAAAAAGTACACTGCGAAAAAAAACACAGTTTAGAGAACAAATGCGCATATTTAGTGTGGCAAAAAAAGAGTAGTAAAAAAAAGGAGGAATAGTTGAAAGTAAACTGGGCTAAATAAATTCGTAAATTGAAACTGAATGCTGAAATTTTTTGAATTGCAATCTCGTACAAAGCTTGAATGTTTTATGTGATTTCATTTGAAGTTTTGCATTTGTTTTTTCTACTAAATTTGGTAAAAATAAATCAAAAGTTTAATAGTAAAAGTCATACACTATTTGTATTTTGAAATATTTTTACTGTTTTTGTGGATATATAATGGTTTAAGCATATGAAAAGGGCAATTATTTACGCTTTAAAAGGTTTTAAAATATTCATATTATTTACAATCGAAATCATATGTTACAGATTTAACTTATATATATAATATATTGTATTTGCTTAGTTGTTTATCTGTGAGATCATCTGCTACAAATTAGTTTCATTAAAACTGCAACAATTAATCAAATTTATACGAAAACTGTCATGCCAATTAGTTACGAACACAAACGACTCACTACTCACGCACACACGCACATAAAAGCCAATAAATCACATAAAAACTCTATTTTTTTACTTATGAACAAATATTAGAAGGAAATATACTAAGCGTTGCTTTGTATCTGCACTTCAGTGAGATGTTTTTGTGTATCTGCGTCTCTATGCAGATTGTGTATTTGCTTTTTGTTAGCAATTTGTAAGTACAAAGTTAAAGTGATTTCGTTTTGACGCATTTGTCCACCCACACTTACAGCTGTCGTTGTTTTGTCTATAAGTCCCACAGCCAAGCAATATCTCTGCTCTGTAATTTGTGTTCTACATGTCTTGCTTTTGCTTTTTTTTGACTGTCTGCCTGTTTGCTTGTCTGTCCGGATGTCTGTTTATCTGTCTGCATCAATATTTATGCCTAATCTGCATGCAAAACATATGAAACCGCGTGAGTAGCATAAATATATACATACTACATCTATATCTATATCCTTACTATGCACATATACCCTTACCAACTGTATCCACATGTATATAATTTCATAAGTAAACAGACACAGAAAGTGGGTGGTGGGTGTTTAGATACTACATGTCACTTCTATTTATTGAGACTGTATGAATTTTGTACGTAAGTGAGGAAAAGAATTTAGTGCGTAAACTTAAGTCATCACTAACGAAGACAAAATGCTGAGCTTAAAAAAGCATTAGTCTTGGCCTGACAGTTTACTCAAATAGCAGACGAGGCTAGGATCTGCTTACATGGATGAATTTTTCATACTCATACGTTTACGTTGATGTGCATAGTTTATTGTTAGTTTTACTGCACATACGCATTAATAATATTTATTTGTTCAATGGTAGCAGAAGGTACTCCTCTGTCTGTTTTGACAACTGACACCACCACTACCACCGGGTATGAGCGTAGTAGATAACACAATGTTGGCGACACTGTCGACAATGATGCGACATATGTCAAATGTTATGATTGATTTATGATAAACCATAAAAGGTACAAACAACTTATTTTCCAAAAAAAGCATTACTATTTTTCTCTCTCTCTCTAAATTTGACGTTAAGTGCCTTTGCGTAGGCCATTAAATTATATCACTGCTTCGCATTACACTGCTTCCTAATAGAGTTTCTTCTTTTAAGAAAGCAAAGCAAGACAAGTCATGTTTTCTACAGATTTATGCGATCTAATCTTTAACACTTTTAGTCATAAATGATTTCATGAAACATTCTGAAATCTGCAGTTTTCACTCCATATATGCTTCATTTCTTTTTTCAACTAAAAGTTTTTTCATCAAATTTTCCACACTTTTTTTCTTACCTGCAGTAATGCTACATCTTAAGCTGAACTCCAGCGTCGCACAATAAATTCACATCTTTTTGTCTTTAAGTGTTGAAGCAGTAAATCGTGCTCGTTGCCATCTTCAAGTGCTGTCGAGTGCATAAGTTTTCGTCCTTAACGCAGTACTCCAACTTTCGCCAGTATGTGTTCCATACGTAAACCTCATATCACTCATACGCCCTAAGAAAAAAAAGTTATAAGAAACTTGCACACTCCTTGCTGTCAGTTTTTAAGCGTTAAAGCTCATAATTCCTGCTTTTATTTGCGGTACAACGCACTCTTAAATATATATATATATATGTATGTATGTGTGTGTGTATCTATGTGTATTAGTACTGACATATTAAACGACTGACTGTACTTTGTTATTTTAGTGATTAATGCTCACACTAGTGCTCGGTTACATTACTTATTTTACCTTCTCTTTTGCTTTCCTTGCAGCTTAATTCCATTTCATCGCTTCGCACATCAATTACCATTGTCAACAGTAGCTAACAATAGTGTGCACGGTAAAGCGCAGGAACTCGAGAAATTGGCGGAAAACTCTTTCGAAAGTGTTCTGGTTGACTTGATTTGTTGCTACAGCATGCTGAGCACAATGTCTGTTGGCTCATTGATAAATTAGTCTAAACAAATTTTGGCTACTAGAATATCGTCGTGCAACAACAACGACTCTAATATATCGCAACCACATTTGCTTTGCGCCACCTAGACAAGTAACAGCTTACGGACGTACACGAACTCAAAGTGGCTTAAACAGCCATGCATAACGCAATGTTTCCTGGCACAGCCAAATTTCAAACACGTCCAGCATCACCTCAATTTGCAAATTTTTCACCGCCACTCGACTATCCGCATAACAACGGTGCAACAGTAGGTATGCCCACAGGCGCCACAGCACTCGGCCCACCCAATTCGCATCATATGTCTATGTCTATGCGTCATCCTAAAACCATGTCAAGCAAAACAAGATCCAATGCTGGTCATCATATGGTTAATTCAAACACTATGGGCATGATGGCCGGTGGTATCGGTGGTGGTAGCCTTGGACATCATCGTGGTGATTTGATTTTTCCAGATGAGACAGACACTATAGAATTTTGCATGCCACCACCACCGGCTACAGGGAATGGCATGTCACCAGGCATGAATGGTGAATTGTTATTACACAGCAATAATGGATTTTGCAATGCTGAAGCATTTACAGAACGACGTCGCCGTGGTCAGAGTCGACGCAGCAATCACAAAATGGATGTGGAGCAACAGGTACGTACAGCAACCGCAAACAAAAGCATACAATCTTGCCTTTACTTCAATTCTAACAAATCTCATTATATTTTTTAGGTCAAATGGTCACGCAAAAATATTGCAGCCACAATGGAACGATTCGAGCCAACAAATCATTCGTCCTCTTCGACTTCTTCATTGGAATATGGTTTTGCCGCTGGCGTAGTCACACCATCAACAACACCTTCACATCAATCTCAAGTGTCGCCTGTACAACAATCGTACCCGTGCAGTAGTAATAGCATGGCGGGTGCTGCCGCTCCCATGAATCACATATACTCTTATGCATACTATGAGCCGGGTGCTGCTAAATGCCATACGAATATACCGATGAAGGATGGTTCCATTCCAGCTATTATACCTGCTCCACAACCAATTGCAGGTCCTTCAAAAAGTCCGCCACGAAATTCTATACGTGCTTTGTTGGCAAAGGGATTCCGTTCAAAATCTAATAGCGGTCAGTCAACATCATCTTCACCTAGCGCGGATGATCGTCATACCTACACTACACGTTATGGTACCACAGAAAATCTTTATGAAGAAGTAAGTGAACAGAAAATACGTAAAGTGCTCTCTGATAATCGCATAGCAAGTTCGAATGGTAATGTCAAAGAAGAATTACGCCGTGTGCAACATAACCACTTTCGCGTTTTGGATGAACTTAATTTAAGTTTAGAAGCTTTAATTATGCCACCAACTCCACCGGATGTCAGCCCCAATCATGTGGATGACGATGATGAACCCACCACCAGCGCAGCAGCAGCAGCGGCTTTATCAGCAACTACTACAACTGGTGCAGCAGCAGCAGCACAACGACCACGTCGAATTGGTTTGCTTGGTGGTGCCTCTTCGTCATCATCAACATCTTCTCAACAACGTACACTATCACATGCCAGTTTGGAAAATCTTTCTACTACACTTAATTCAATTGAACTAAAAGATCATGCGCATAGTTCTTGCATAAATCCTGAATTTGATGAAGGTGATTTAGATAGCGGCTTCAGTGGTAGCGGTAGTAGCAGTGGTGCAAGCTATAATGAAAGTTTACGTTACTATAAAACAGGTACAAACCATATGCAAACCACTACTTTGCCACATAATCTGAGAAGTTGTCGCTCATCAACTGCTTCTGGCACATCAACCTCGAAGAGTAGTATGGCTTCGTCAGAGGATCAAGGTATTGGTATGATGTCTGCTATGGGTGGATGTGGTATAACAGCTGCGACAGCTGGTAATAGTTTAATGACATCACCATTCAATTATGCACGACGTTGCTCTGATACACAACGTGCTTCGGCACGTTCAGCATCGGCTACTTCTGCGACGGGCACGAAACCAAAAAAAAACTTTTGGACGATAAAACCGTGATGCTATAGAAAGGCGCTACGTAGTTTTTGCAAAAAATGGAGTATTGTGGTGGTGAGTTTGAATTTTATTTTATTTATTTATTTAATTTTATGTTTATTATTTGATTGATTTTTAACGACAGTTTTGATGAAAGAAACTAAGTTCTTAATATGAACTATTGTTTTCAATAGATAGGTTTTTATTGAACAATGATGAATTACAACAACAAAATTTTTTATCATTTTTTAATTAATTGAATTTTTCGGCTGACTATATAGCTGTTTTGAGCATTGCCAAATACCCATCAGTATTGGTCTTGAAATTATTTCTTATACATATAATTATTTCCAAATAATTTTTTGAGACCGCAAATACCGAGGGTGAACGAGTAACCTGCCACGTACTTGCAGAGTACCTGCAATTTAATTATCATTAATTTTAATTTAAAAAATTTTAGTATTAATTAAATTCGATTTAGTGAATATTATTCTATTTGTAATTACAACTAATTAGGTAGGTAGGTCATGGGCACAACAATAGGCTTTCTTATTTAACTAGCTTTTACCGGATATTCCTTTTACAAATTGTTATGAGGTCTTCTTCCTGCTTTTGTGCCTTTTTGCTCAATCGTAACATAATACGGCTGAAGTCATTCTTAAGTTATCAATTTTATTGACTTAATGCATACTTGAGACTTAAGTTTTGACTGTGAAATTGGCGCTAAGCATTTCAATGTCTCATTATATATATCCCAACTATGTCAATTTACATTTTTCTTTTAGTTTCTAACTATTCTTAGAAAAATTTCTACTTATTTTTTTATTACATTTATCAACACTTAATATTTGAATACGACTACCACGACTTCATCTCTTCCTACTTGAGACTTAAGTTTTGACAGTGACTCGGCCCTATCTTAAAGTCTCATTGTGTATATTCCAATTATGTTAATTCAAACTTTTCTTTTAGTTTCTAGCTATTCTTAAAGATAGGCCTACTTATCTTCTTATTACATTTCTCAACACTTAATTTTTTTGAATACGACTACCACGGCTTCACCCCTCTTAATGTAGACAATATAAATTTTTGTAATAGATATTGCATATTAACTCGATATGCCATAATATTTTTTATTTGCGCTTCATTTTGGGCATTAAAAATATTAATAAGCCACATCTTCATGAAATTGACCAGCGAAAACAACCACACTTCGATTATTGTGCTTCCCAGCTTATTTAAAATAATTGCATCATAACCAACACCAATAAGCTGCTTCCGTTTCATTTTCATAATTATATTTGCTTACTTACCAAAGCTACCAAAATTCATAAAAATATTCCCAAGATAATAAATTTATTAAGCAGAACATGATCATCGGCGTTAAAACGATTATTGTGAAAGCAGAGCACAACAGAACGGAACAGAGGAGCGTCACTCCCAGGCAAAGCAGTGCAAAGTGCACGCTTCATCTATGAGTAGTACAATAGCTCAGCGTAGGAATGAATCAATTAAAACTGATTGAATTGCATAGATTTCCCAAATTTACTGCATCAAATAAAACAAGCGAGATAAACAGCAGAAAAAAAAGAAACACTCCAATTTAAGCATTCGAGCTATAAATAAAATTTAAAGCCAACACACCACATATGCCCTCATTTTTCAGAGGATTAAGTGCACCACGAATGCTGCTGCGTATCGTAGAGTAGCGTAAAGAAAACTGATGATTTCATTACAGAATCGTCGTACATAAGAAACTCACATAGCAGCGCTAGATCTATAAGTGGGAGCGCACATTCCCTTATTCCTCACACTCCACTGAGAGATTGCATTTATTTATTATTTCGATAGTAGGGGAAGAAGAAAGTCCCATTAAAACAAACGTTGACATCTTTACAATCCACAAAAGATATGAGTTACGATTACGATGGAAGTTGAGATGAGTGAAGTCGAGCTGTGAAATTTAAGACAAAATGAATTTGTACGGGACGCGCACATTACGATTGCACGGATTGTTTTTGGATGGTATGTTGTGGTGCTCGTACTCGTAATCATACTCGTGCCATTGCACGTTGTTGATTGGAGAAAGTGCGAAAAATTTAAGAAAATTTCATTTTACTGCATTTTTCATCCATTTTCATCCAACATATCGATTTCAATTTTTATTGTTATTGTTGTTTTTGCTTTTGTTTTTGTGTTGTTGGTGTGATTATTATTGTTTTTTCTTAAGAGGGTGAATTGATGCACACATAAAATATACTCGAGCACGCTCTGATTACTACAAATCCAATTCACAATTTACAGTGGTAAATTGCAAGCTGCGAGGTTCGCAAGAATAATTCCATGAAAAAGTGAAATCATGGATTGTGCTCGGACGAATGTTGCTGATATTAAGCAAGCCATGTGAGCTTATCTTGCGGGCGTTATGAAACGAGGATTTATTACATATGGTTACGATTATATTTTTAAATCGGAAGAGTACCGTGTCGAATGATAAAATAGGAAAACCAGAACTGAAATCGTAACAATCACTGTATGCAACGAACTGAAAGGGCAAAATAAATTCTGTTGCATGCACACATTTTCACGAGCTTGTAAGGATTTGTTGATAATGATGAGGGGTTACATAGCTTATAGGGAAACTGATTGAAATAAGCCAACACTTTAGTTGTACTTACCACTTGTATGCATAATAAATCCTCCATGTCCTTATTCTGAAAAGTTAGCAATACAATTTTCAATAGCCATTAAAAACCTGTTACGAGTTTTTGAATTTAGAGTAAGAACTACCTATAGCTGATGATGATGATTTCTTTAATTGTTTTAAATCTCAGACTGTAAGGTTGTAAGGTATCCAAATCTTAAATTAGTGTCAACAAAAATCAAAAAAAAAACGAAAATATTATGTAATGTGACAATCACCTCAACAATAGAAAAAAGCCGTGACACGTCTCCAATTCGTTGGTTAGATATTGATGGAATGGAAAGTGGTTTTAAGTGCCCATGACTGAAAAACAATTTGAGAAACTGTGAAGACTAGAAGGTTGTAAGTAGTTTAAGAATAAACTTTTGCTGAAAAGTCAATAAAATAGAAGAACAAAATCGCAGTAATTTAATTATATTAGTCGTGATAATATGTTATATAGTGTTGCCAAAGTGTATAGTTTCCTTATTAATCATTTATTTATTTATTAAAAATTTTTAAGTGAAATCGCCCAACAGCCGGTACTTCGGCCAGAAAACTTCTATTCTATCAATTTCACTATTGATTATACAAAGCCCTTGAAAGCTTTGTGAACAAAAACCAAAACTAAATCTAGAGAAGAGCTCTGTAATCTGTTCGCCCAACAGTCGGTACTACGGCCAGAAGACTCTAATTCTATCAATTTCACTATTGATTATACAAAGCTCATGAAAGCTTTGTGAACAAAGTCTAGAACTAAATCTAGAGAAGAGCTCTGTGATCTGTTCGTCCAATTGTCGGTACTACGGCCAGAAGATTTCTATTGTATCAATTTCACTATTGATTATACAAAGCTCTTGAAAGGTTTGTGAACAAAGTCCAGAACTAAATCTAGAGAAGAGCTCTTAATTTGTTCTAGTGATAGAAATGCCATATGCAATAAGTTTCCTTACTCATTACTCCTTCTTTATTCGGCAATCCAAATCGAATTTATACCAAGATCCGAGGTAAAAGTCTAAGGGTTTCGTAATAATGACGTTTTTTTTGTGTAAAATTGTTGATCACTGTTATGCTGGGATTGATGACTTTTTCAAATAACCTTGCTATCCAATGCAATCTTTACTTTAGATCATCCAAAATGGCTTGTGTCATTTGCTGTCATATTTGCTGATTCTTACATGATCTTTTACAAACACTTGTCTAACTCTTGTAAAATGTATCTCATAAGATACATCCAATTTGATAGTTTTTAACTAACAGAATCAGTTATCTGATTTATTGCCTGTTATATCGTCATCAAGTATTCTAATATATGACATTTTATATTTTATTGCACTTAGACCAGAGAGACACTTTTAACATCCAATAGCTTTTTGATTTTATTATGCATAACATTATTCGGGTTCATTACAGAGGTTTCAACAAATACTCGTACTCGTACTCGTAGTTAAGTAAAGATTACAGGGATGATAACTTAGCATCTTAGCATTTAAAGTTTAACAAACACGTGAGTGGTTAGTAAGAGGATCTTTTCTAAGTAAATAAATAAAAATTTAATTTAATTTATTTAAAAAATAAATTTTTTAAAAATATTCCTAAAAAATGTTGTTGTCCTAAGTATCCAGCATGTGACTGCTTAAATCTATTCATATGCCAAATATTCAATTGACAAATAACTGTTATTTCTTTTCGCTGTCTTTTATAGCTTTAATTAAAACCTACCCTTAAAACCTTCCATTAATAAATTCTCATAGTTTTCACCAGGCATTCTTTTCCATGCAGAATGTATTCATCTTCTATTAAACATTTCAACATCTCTCAAACTTTTTTCTAAATGTAATAAAAATAAATAAAACCGATTAAATGAAAAGAAATCTTAAATCCTTTAATTGCACAAAAGTAAAACAACAATTTCGAATATTAAAAAAGAAAAAAAATCTAACAGAATAGACTTGGTCGGTTATTTTTTATGTTGCCGTTCCCCGTTTGCAAGACAATAAATTAATTCTATTGCAAAATGTATTGGGCAAGGCGCCAGGAAAGTGTATCATGTGCGGGTCTTTAGTGACATAACATTAAGCAGACGAAAATTGCAAACAGGAAGACGCAACCTCTCACAACCACACACACACACACACACACACAGACAGACTAGCAACCGAGTAATCTCATTTTTCCATACAAAACCTAGACAAATTATATGCGAGGGTGGTAAACGTGTCACTGTCATGAATTCACTGTCTGCACTGCACTGTCTGGGTCGTCCCGGCTATGTGCTTGGAAGTATGTTCCGCTGGTTTGTATTGTAAATCACCCTCGTGGCCTCATTCCGAGCTGACTAACAAAGCCTAAACAAACTTTTTCCTATTTTATTTGTATGCTTGGATGAAGC